AATAGATATAGATCACCTGGTGAATAGAGGAATCCCCATACCTTACAAGTGTATCATGTGCAAAAAAGATACTGAAACAGCGAACCATCTGTTCACGACAATGCCACAAAAATTTGGAATCTTGTACTAGTTTAGCTATTGTTTGGTTATCCCAGAATCCAGGAGTTCTCATTCGACAGTGGATATCCCCAAGCTTAATAAAATGAGATATTTTTCTCTAGAGAATGCATTTCAACCTTGATTTGTGTCTAGAAAGGGATGGCGTACTTTCGATATGGTATACCTTACAGGGTCATGGTTGAAAGACAGAATCAGGGCCAACGACATTTCCTGGCCAAGGTATGAGGGGAGTTTTGGGGGCTCAGTAGTAGATTTTGAAAATTAGTGGCAAGAGATTTTCTGGAGCAAACTAAAACAGCATGTCTCGTAGTACAATATGGACCCACATAGTAAAGGGATCTTGAACATTGATGGCCATCCAGAGGAAACCCGGGTCAAGCAGGTGCTGGAGGTGTCAGGACCTCTAATGAGGTGTGACTCGTACAAGGCTGAATTTCTGACACTACTCATTGGACTACCTAGTGTTCACCCAAATTGAAAGAACATTGAAGTCAAACAGACTCAAAGAACCTAATGTCATGGGGCAGCAGAGAAATCAACATACCCATTGAGATCCGCGAATGTGACTGATGAAATTTGTTGACATTTATCTTTCCACCTATCATGGAGAGAAGCGAACGATATGGCTAATCAACTGCAATAGTGAGGCTTCCAGAACCTCTCTTACAGTTTCTATGATGTAAATCTTAGTGGTCCTTGTTAGTACCCCCAATTTGTGGACAAACATATAATTACAGAACATTTTGTTCTCATTGACAAAATTAACTTCCCAAAAAAAAAAGGACTTACTAGCTGGTCAACAATTTAAAGAATTTGAGTTCAACTTTCTAAGTTTCAATTGATTAGTAATTTATGTGAATTTGAATTGACCTATAGAAAATTCACAGTGAAGAGTATCGGGGTTGGACAAAAGATGCAGTGCAAGCATATGGGTATTCCCTCTATAAGAAAGGACACACATGCCCTCTATAATCCCATCAATACAATGAGCAGTGAAATTGATTTTCAAAGTGTCTTGAGGCAAATGAATACAAACATCAAACTTCCATTGACATTGTTAAATACTTAACATTTGAATTTACAATGAGCAGTGAAATTGATTTTCAAAGTGATTTTCTTGAGGCAAATGAATACAAACATCAAACCTCCATTGCATTGACAGTTGAGGACATCTGTGCTCCACAATCATTGAAGATATTTACAAGAGCAAGGTGATATAATAAGCTAAGCCTAATCTAATTGTAGGCCACCTCTAAGGTTTCCCAATAAAGTGCCTGTGTTTGAACATCGTTAAATACATTGCAGGCCCAATCTTTGGTTGCCAAATAAGGTTTCCGAAAAGTTTACATGCTATGACTTTATGTTATAGTAGATCATTTAATAGAACGCCTTCTCAATATAACCGTCTAGTAAATTTACTGACCATTTAATATCTTGCCTGATGTAATTCTTTTTTTTGATAACTGTTGACAATTGTATTGATAAAAGAAGAGAGGTACAAGGTTACTTCCAAGGTAGCCTCAGAGCCAAGGCACCTGGCAAAATCTTGCCGGATGTAATTCTCTCCTAGCTTCTAAGAAACAACAGTTATCTTAGATGTGATGATGCTGGTACTGTGACCCTTCCTGCCCCCAATAACATACATGGTATGTGATGGGCGTTGGCTGTGGTGTTACCCACTAGTCACCTTATAAGCACAAGAGATATGCTCGAACGATATTCATTATGGCTTCCAGTCCAGTGTTCCATGTATTCTCCAAATATAGATATTAACTAGAGCAAAAACCAAGGGGAGATGGACTATGAAGACCAAATTCATTATGGCTTCACAAAGCAAGAAAAGAAGAAAAATCATTCTTGCTTGCAATCTAGTGTTCCACATTTCCAGCAAAGACATAGATATCAAGCTAATGTACCATTGGAAGAGAGAAACAAAGAGAAAGGTACATAACGGCTTTCCGTCTATTGTCAACACTCGCACCAAAAAGCATAGAGATGGTTTTCAGGGGAAGCCATACATAAATGATCGAACCATGTTTTGCATCATGAAATTCCGAGTGATGCCAAAATTGCAATATGTGCAAGGCCTTTCTAACAATTGGAAAATAAAAAATAAAGATGAAGCATTTTTCTTCGGACACAAATTATCAAAGAGTTCTCCAAATGCCTAGATTTTCATGCTAACCATGCTCACGTTAACCTGCTAATGTTATCAAAGAGTTCTCCAAATGCCTAGATTTTCATGCTAACCATGCTCATGTGAAAGTTAGCCTGCATGACATGACAAGGTCACCCTCGAAATCTTAAATAATAAAAATAAGTAAAATCAAATTATTACAAAATAAGACAACTTGAAGCACCAAAAGGTTAGATAAACATGTTTCCCAAGCTAGTATAATAATATGCTAGTATTGCATGACAAGCCATGAAAATATATTAGGAAAAGGATTACGCTTTGGTGTATCAGTCAATGCACCTATTCAAGTGCAGCCTCCTTCCACAAATCCATCTTAGAGATGGATTTTAAATCTAAAATTTCACAGGTCGATAATCTCAACCATCACTATCATGAATATGAAAAAAAATTAGATTTTAAACCTTAAAAAATAGATTGTATTTTAAACTTTGCTTTTGGACCATTTTTGGACGCTTCAATTCAATTCTTTTAAAATAATATATTTTCACGGTTTAAATTTCACTTCCATGATGGTGGCGGTCAAGATTTTAAACCTTAAAAAAAATTAGATTTTAAACCTTAAAAAATAGATTGTATTTTAAACTTTGCTTTTGGACCGTTTTCGGACGCTTCATGTCAGTTCATTTAAAATAATATATTTTCACGGTTTAAATTCCACTTCCGTGATTGTGGCAGTCAAGATTATTAACCTGAAGAAAATTAGATCCAAAATCCGTATCTAAGATGGATTTTTGGAAGGGGAAAACATTTGAATAGAAAAGCAATTAAATTTTTCCCTTAAAAAATGTATCATATAACATTTACTTGTGTCTGCAACAAGTTGCACAGAGTCCAAACCTGCCTGAATGCACAGAGGCATAAATAGTAAATTTGAAGGAGGAACACAGGTGGAGGGAAGGAAAAACTGGGTCTAGTAGATTATTAACAAGGGTATACATCATAATGCAACAGGTGCAAACATACATAAACTTACACTGAGAAAAATAGTAGAATATGAGAAAGAAGACAGAGATAAAGAACAGAAAGAAAGCACTGGGAGTCTGGGCCAGCACTGGAAGTCTGGGGCAATAGACAATGGGAACAGGCCATGGAGGATTCATTGAGACAGGACAGATGCTCTGATCTCCAAGGACCCTCCAGCACTAGGGTGTCATTTAAGAATTGACTTCCCAAACAGTTGATTGACTGAGATGAACATCCAAAAAGAAATAAAGAAGCCAGAAGCTTAGATAGATACCTAGGGCCCACCTATTAGATGGACAGCACATCAGAGCTTGCTGCATTAGGCAGACCAACCCAGTAGCGCCATGTTTGTCATAACAACATTGACCACAACCTCAACAACCAGACTCCCATGAGATTGCAGGAGCACTTTGGTGAACAAGACTACGCTCTACCCGTGATTGCTTTCATGAGACCACAAGTGCTAACATTCATTTCATAATACCAGAAACTCACACCCGAGTTACAGTCCATAACAAAAGTCAAATTCATGAAACAACAGGGCAACTAAGATTTTAATATGAGAATAAAATAAAATAATAAATGAGACACAAGCAATCTATGATGCATCTATTTCACAGGCATATTACTGCAGTTCTTCACTTCCAAACCAAAATATCATTTAGTGCAAATGTTCGATCATTGGCCAACTCAAAAATATTAGACAAGAAAGACCCAATGGAAAATCCACCGCCCATATATATGTCTCTTTTAAGTCTCTTGTTCCCCCCCTCTCGCCTTACTTCCAGGCTTAATTGATACTCATGTTTAAATATATGAGAGACAATTTTCCCAAGAGAAAAGCCAGCTATTATCAGTTGAGTCTCGCTATACCTAACCCCCCTGTTACCTTGCATCCCTTCCCTTCCCTTTCCTCAACTGTTGTATTTAAGTTATAAGAAAAATAGCAATCAGATGGAAAAGCCAACATCTATTATCCATTCCTATTTAGCAACTTTGTTCCCAACTCTCATCCCACTTCCTCTCCCAGTGTTCTATCACTAAACAAAACCTGTCTCACCCTATATTCCCAACCAACTCCCTCTCCCAAGATACCTTGCTACCTAAGAATTCACTACGTCCATGTTGAGTTTTTCACTTCCACTCATTCCCTCTTACTAAAGTCAAGGCTAACAAGGATGACAAAACGGCAATGGTTCTAAACAAAATTCGAGGTAACCTAACCATTGACAGCCTATCTTGCCTGAGAAGATTTCTTCACCCAGCATTCGACATTGAATCTTTTTAAACTACAACAGTTTAAACTATGAGCAAGACATCCTAATAGTCATTGGCATTTTGCACAAATTCTTTACCGTTAAAGACAAAAAAGACTTACTCCGTTGTAAAATAGTCCAACACGCCAGTTTATTATTCAAGCTGTCCCCTTCAAAAAGTAGATGGATGCACTAAGCTCAAATATGCACCACCTAGCTCAAAATATAGAGCCTCATAAAGAATAATATGTAAGGTGATTCCATATTTAGCTTCATGTACCTAAGAAGTCTGAGTGACAAGCACGTATGACAATCATCCTTGAAATCCACATGAATATGGTCGGAAATGTTTAGAGATGGATAATACTATATCCACACAATAACATAGCATATGAACCCCAACTCAAATATTACATGCCCAACAAGCCAAGCAACAAACTTATGTGGCACAAACTAAGCAATTATAATACTGAAAGTGACTCTCAATTATGATTTCTCATATCTGACAAGCCTCACAAATAAACAACCAGGTCAGCAATATCTTGGTAGAAAGCAACTTTGAGCTCTTTCCATTGGCATTGCTCAATTGTCTATCCACACCATCCCCTAAAAAAAATAAAAATTAATTAAAAAGAAAAGGTACATAGCCGCATTGATGTAGGATCAAGGGGTATGGCGCTTAAACATGTCTGACACACAAGGTTGGGTACTGAAGAAAGGGTTTATGTACAATTAGGAATTCCAATTAAGTTAGGATGTAGGAGTTCTAAGGCGTTTAGGTTCCTACAAGGACTGGGACATAAAGGTTTGGACCTTATGAAGATAGAACAAGGTTTAGACTTAAGGGTTGTGAGGAGGGATAGGGTTAAGGCAAGTTTAGCATAGGTTTTAAGGTTTCTAAAGGGGTTAAAGCTTGTTGGAATCAAAAAGGTTCCAACAAGATAATGATGAGATGGATTATAGGCTTGAACTTGAGCAAATCTAAGGTTTAAACTTTAAACTTAAGGTTTAAGGGTATTGGTTCCTTTAGAGTTAACCCTAAAGGAAACGTTAGAGCCATTCACACCTTTGGAGAGAGAAGAAGAATCAATTATGTGCTATCTTCCTAGGTCATTCTCTTGCCTCCTTCCCTGTCTAGTGGGATTCGTTGTGGGCTGATCTGTAGCAGCTCTTGCATGGTGTTCATTCGATCAAGGGGGATTTCAATTACTGCTCCTCTTCAAAGGGCCATAATCACAACATAGGCCTGCTGGATACTCAAAATATCTGGCTCTCCGCCTAGTTCCTTTATGGTAGTAGTTCTACAAGCTCAAATAGATGCTCACAGACCTCAAAGGATCACAAGCCTCTCCTGTAAACTTTGCCCGGGCCCCTCAATACTAGAAGAAATGCAGAACCCATCAACAAAATCCTCCACTTAAAATACCCCCTCCACAGCCTCATCCTCCCTGTCCTCTCCAATGTGTCGAGGATGTCTTCCCCTCTTCCCTAGAACCACGTCCCAACCTATCCTCTAACCAGCTAAGTCAGATGGCATCCCTAACTAATCTGAGCTTTCTTCCTAAGATAATTTTAACTAGACAATGTTCTGTCCCAGAAGTGTGTATAGGGAAACTCAGTAGTCGTTCCACATCACTATTTATCTCAAGGATGCGAGTCACATCCTCAAGAGTGGGTGTCATCGCACCTAGGGCAAGAGGGACAGAGTTGTCTCCAGTCTCCACACCACATACAAGCTTGTTCCAGAGTATTTTTTACTCTTTCTTACCTCAGGTGAGACCGACATCCAATGTTTCAGAAAACGCTTGCAGCCGTCCTTGCTCCCAGTGCCCAGCACCTAGGACATCGGGCACCTGGACGTGAAATTGTTTCAGATATAGGTATAAATGTGCTGTCGAAACACAGATATTCGTGTCAATTTTGTATGTTTTTTGCATTTATGAGTATTCTAAGTTACTTTTTTCATATATTTTTTTGTATTTTTTTTGTATTTATGAGTATTCTAAGTTACTTTTTTCATATATATGCACACGAATGTTCATACACATTCAGAACTTCAAATCATTGAAAATTTAGTGAAAACATAAACAAGTCCATAGTGTATTAATCTCGAACTCTCCATACTCCATTGTGGCATACAATCATCACATACAGTCATACACAGATAGACAATCACATAGACTCCAAGTTTCCAATAGGAGTATAACACTAAAAAAAATTCCAATAAGAAAGGGTAGGCTTTTGGATGCTTCTTCAAACTTTACATTTTTTCGATTCAAAAATTTTGTAAAATCAATTGATTTTGGGTGTTTTGGGGTTTAGGTTGGAGTTTTTTCACTTTGGCGGGTTTAGAATACTCCAAAGCAACTTTTCACTCTATTTAATGGGTCAAAAGACCCAGATTTCCCTCACAGGCCTCTTTTTTTTCTCTAGTCAAAAGGGCACAAGCCCTGGGCAAGTGCCTAGGAATTAGCACCCAGATAAGGCTGCCCATGCCTAGCATGCAGCCTAGGGCCCTTTGGGCTCCTAGGCAGTGGGCAGCCCGTTTTTCGAAACACTGACGGCACCCACTCTAGAGAATGTGACATGCATCATCAGTGTACATAGTGTTGGGGAACCCTACTGGGTATCCCTCCTCACACCCCTGGGACATAACTTAGTGAAGTTAAAAAAAATTAGGAAGGAATCTTTTTTTTGTAATATGTATGTATCTTAAGAAGGAATCCTAGGGTAATTAGCAACTATATGAGTGCAATCTACCTTAACAGGTCAGAGGATAGGTGAGAAGGTGGCTCTAGGGCACGTAAGTGGAAGGAGCTTGCCCATGGAGAACAGGTTTGCCAAGGGTAGGTGACAGTCACATGGCTCCCTTGACACATTGGAGGGGACAATGAAGATGAGGATGAGGAAGAGGTAATTTTTAATGGAGGATTCTGAAGATTGGATCTGCATTTCTTTTAAGACTCATCGGAGAGACATGCAATAGCTAGGGGTTAGCAAGCATTCGCTCCATATAGGAGTTAGGAGAGAACCAAATATTTTCGGTACCTCAGAAGGCCCAGGCTGTAATTCAGGTCATTTGATGCTTAAGCACAGTCATTGAGAGCCCCCAAGGTCCTAATTTACATAGGGTTTATGTGAAAAAGGACTGTGAAGTTCCTTATGCACACAATCCTCACCCTTTTGGCCTCAGATTCTTCTAGAGGGGCTGCCAAAGATGAACTTACGGTTCCTTAGAGAATAGCATGCTCCAAGTTTTTCTCATCAGCTATATTAAGTACAACATACTCATTGAGAGCATGCTCCTTTGATGCTTAAGCACATTCATTGAGAGCCCCCTTGGTCCTAGATTACATAGGGTTTATGTGAAAAAAGACTGTGAAGTTCCTTACGCACATAATCCTCACCCTTTGGCCTCAGATTCTTCTAGAGGGGCTGCCAAAGATGAACTTACAGTTCCTTAGAGAATAGCATGCCCCAAGTTTTTCTCATCAGCTATATTAAGTACAACATACTCACATAAAACCCTAAAACATTGTATCATATAAGTGGACAAAGGCAAAACCCCAATAATATAAAACCATGTGCATACAAGTTCTGGTCTCAATATAATAAGTAATTTGCACCACCCTTCAATATAGTATGGCTAAGAAGACTTTGCAATGTCAATAGTATGAGAGGGGACAACAGAAATCCCTCTTTCAAATATTCTTTTCTGTTTATCACATTTGCATGATCCCTTTTTCTGAGTCTCCCTCAAGTCATTTCCCACCAATGCTTGAGAAACCCCAGGGCCAATAGGTCCTCCACTAACCCAACCATTATTAATACTTTTAACAACCATCTTTAAGCATCCTAATATATACACAGATGGGTTCATGAGGAAAAGTGAGAACGCTGTCAAGAGCTGAATGTGCATAAAGACATCAGTATAAACATGTTCCATAAACAGCTGCACAATAAGGCTGAAAAGAAGAAAACATTTGATATATAACAATGATCGTTAATATAATTTTTCCAATTTTTAAAAGAAATATAATGTCTTCCAATTATGTTAAAGAAATGATTCCTACAACATACAATTTTCCAATTTACAAAAAATATTTTTTTTACAATTACTGTTAAAAATTTATTTTTTCCAGAGAATAAGGAAGCCCTACAACATATCACAGATTTAGATAAGAATCTGCTGCTCCCATGTTATTACAGATATTGTACAAAACATGTGCAAGCTATCACTATCACTAATTTACATGGCAAAGAAATGGACAAAGTTAATTGTGACTGCAAAGGCCCAAAGACGAGAAGAATCCGAATTCATCATATCATTTCCGAAGTACAAGTTTACCAATGTTTTGTTTCAGGAGTACTTGCCAACTGTTTGAATCAGATTTATGATGGAACACCTTCCAAACAAAAAAATGAAGGCAAAGAATTTGATTGCCAAGCTTGAACTCTGTATGCTTGGCGTCCTCAACTCAATTGTGTACAAATGCTAACTTAAAGAAAAACCCCGAGCTATGAACATGGCCGTTTACAGTACTATCCTTGATCACATCCTTTTACATCCAATTAATAAGCCATCCACAAAACCAGGCACCTCTTTCAAAGACGAAAGACCAGCAATAGCACATAAAGATGATGGACCATCCATACTCAACTTGCACTCCAAATATGTTCATAAAGCTCAAGAAAGATGATCCAGAGATATGTGGTGAGACTGTATGGCCCAAATAAAATTTTACCGGATGGTATCAGTGTGATCAGCAGTCACATGCTATCCGTGAAAGACGAAAGCTTCCCTTGCTCACATTGCCCCACGGTCAATCCCAAACGATTATTGCTCTTCTGGTTCACTTTACAGCACAGTCGCCTTGGTACCTGATTCAAAAGAAAAATAAATCAGAATGTGCTTGCAATACCATCACGCTTTTCCCAGCTAAATTATCTAAACAAAGCCATTAAAAAAGGCTCAAGCCATGAATACACAAAGAAAGAGAGAATAGAACATTTGAACAAACCTTTGCCCATTTCTCAGTCAGGGGATTGCTTGTCACTTGGATATCCAGCACTTCATGAAGAGGAAGTGACCTTGGGAAGCACAAGACCTTCCTTTTCAAATCATCCTTGCCTTTCAATCTATTGTAGGATCCCACTGTAACATTTTCATTTTTGCCAATGTCTTTCAAATAGAAAATCACCGGCCTTTTGCATGTAGATCGATAGGAATCCCTTGTATCAAAATCAAACTCATTCCTGTGGCCCAACCTGTTCCATGCCAAAAACGTCTGTTCAGCTCTGTCAAGTTCTCGAGGAAGGACAATGCTGGGGAACACTTGAACTGCATAACCGAGGGAAACCGAGAAGGTTAACCGCCTTTGTCTATCATAGCAAATTGATCTCTGTAAGAAACTCCTTGGATCAATCTTCATGGCCCTTGTGAATAGCTTCAAGCTATCAAGAGAATTTGCGCCAGGAAAGATAGGGTCGACAGCTTCCACATGATGAATGGAAACAAATGGAGCAACTGGGTGAGCAGCCAAAAGGCCATGGGCACTTCCCCTGATATCCCACTGCAAAACATTGGAATCATTTAAACAAATATTAATTTTTCTGATAGTTAAATGAACAAGGAAGCGTTATTTTATTTCCCCTATTTTAAACTCTAGTGCTTGCCACAAAACCTATTTCAAACATTGAAAACTTCGATAAGTAGTCCTTAGAAAAACGTCTTTCTAACCAGGTCAGAATGTAAAAATTTTGCACAAAATCTGCAATCAATATAAAAAACCCAATCATGTGGACAAGCATCATCTTTTGTATGACAAATAAACAACAATTCAACAAATGAATCATTTCAAGTCATGTAAAAATCACCCCAATTGCTACCATTCTATAATCAACTAAAACAATTAATTGTCTACCCCATATGAAAGGAACAAAGACCAATAAAATAATCCACCGAATAAACAAGAGAAAATGCACGAGCAACATAGTTTACAATTAATAACTTACCAAAACTATTTCAACATTGAAAACTTAGATAAATAGTCCTCTAGAAAGACATCTAAGTTTCTAACCAGATCAGAATGAACAATTTTTCCCCGAAATCCACAATCAATTAAAAAATAAATCATGTGGACAACAATCACCATTGTATGACAAAGAAACAAACGAATCAATTCAAGTAAGATTAAAAACATCCAACTTGCTCACATTCTATAATCATTTTAAACAACTAATATTGTTCACTTGTACAGAAGGAATAGATACCAATAAAATAACTCACTGAATAAACAACAGAGAGAAAAAAAAATGCAAGCCCAACATGGTTTACAAGTAATAACTATACCACTATGACATAGATTAGTTATTCACTAGAATAAGCAAACAGCAGCGTAGTTTCACTCAATCCTCCGGATAAAAAGAATAAAATTTACTAAAATAAAAATAAAATAAACAGAATGAATCGAATAGCTAATGTTCTATAATCAATGAAAACAACAAATTGTCTGCAGAATGACAAAACCCAGTAAAATAACCCACTGTGATGAACATAGAAAACACAGACAAATTCAGAACATACTATACAAATCATGATAAATTCAACAAGATACAATCAAATCAAGTAAGAAAAAAACAAACCCAATTAAAAATCCAGCGCATACAATCGAAAAAACACAAAGACCACAGAATAAATACCTGATGAAATCCATATTCTCTTGTTAGGGGTACCCCAAGCTCAGAGATACAGGCATGGAGGCGATCATCACTCCCATAAAGCTTTGGATATCTCTCTAAACACTCATCTTGCATCCTCCAAAGTGCGGCGGCAAGAGGATAACTGATGGCTATTCCTCCTCCCCCAAAAGCCATTGAATGGCTAAAATAAGTATTTGCAGAGTGACTTTCAGAGGGGCCCCCAATATAAAACATCTCAGAATCGTCATACTTCTTCAAAACCCCAAGCAAATTATCAGGGTTAAAAATGGTGTCATCGTCTCCAAGAACAAACCACCGAACATCTGGTAACCCCAATTTGAAGCTCTCTGTGACAATTCTAGAGATCCTGAGGCCAGAAGGATGGCCTGTGGGGTTTGTGTAACTGAACCTTGAAATGTCCTCTGAAACCCTAATTTGAGGCAATGAATCATCCCAGGGAACCTCTTCTTCAAGCCATACATGGCCTCGCATCTCGCTAGGCCTCCACCATAGCTTGACAAACTCTTTCCTCTTGTTCCATAGCTGAGATGAACCAGCGATCCCAAAAAGAATGTGCTTTAGAGAAAGGTCACTAGTTGAATTTGAGCTTTCATGGACGAAATTAGAGTTGGGGTTTGGATTAGGGTTTTGGTCCGCGCGAGGGATGGGTTCTCGTGGCTGCCATGGAAAAGCTAAGGGGCTACCCTCCCATTCCTTAAACTGGTGCCAACAATGGCGGCCTCTGGTTCCCGAGAAGATAAGAGAGAACCACGCCGACGTGGCAAGGAGGAGAGAGAGAATCGAGAATATTATGGTGCCCGCTCTTCCATGGCGCCATCTCCTGCTTCTTGTTCTAGCCAGAACCCTCTGTTTCTCATTGTTCAACATCATCCTCTAAATTCATGGCCCCAAGCACCACAAATAAATTAGTGCTTGAATCGTTACAAGATATATATATATATATATATAGAGAGAGAGAGAGAGAGTGAAATAATTGCAGAGAGTGAGAGAGATCGAACGAAACAGACCTAGGGAATACAGAATATCAGAGATCAGACGGATTACAGGAACAGAAGAGAGATAGAGGGAGAGAGTTGCAGAGAAGGTAGAGACAGAGAGGGAATGGGATGAGAGGGAAAAAGGTGATAGGGTTTAATGCCCTATTTTTGAAATTGGAAAGCGGTTTTTACGCAGGGATTGTCGCCGGAGAGCCGTTGCAGTGACCGTTGGATTCGTGCGCGCAATGAAAGAAGGAAAGCATATGCAAAGGCCTTTATAAGATTCAGAGAAAGAAAGAAAGAGAGAGAGAGAGAGAGGGAAATGATCAGCACGTTACTCAAGCAAAAGAGAGAGAAAGTAAGAGAGAGAGAGGGAGGGGGAAGGGAAAATGATGAGAAGGTTCGTCATGGCATGGAATGCGTCTGAGGTTTGTCTTAGTCCCCAGAAGTCCATCAATTTTTCTTCCCTACGCAGATGACACGCACAAGGATAATGCTCGGAATTTCTCACTCTAGACATTTTTTGGGATTTTCTCTCTCTAGACATTTTTTGGACTTTCTCTCTCTAGCCATTTTGGAACTCTCTCTAGACATTTCGGACTCTCTCTCTCTACATATTTTGGTCGCTATTTCTCTCTCTAGGAATTTCGGAGCTTTCTCTCTCTAGGAATTTCGGAGCTCTCTCTCTCTTCTTTGCTGTTCCGTCTTCTCACTATGAAATACTCGGGAGAGAGAGGTGGGGGAACGAGATTCTGAAGAATAACTTTGGGATAGAGATAGAAAAGTGCCACTCGTGTCGGAGAATATTACAATATTACCACCACACCGTACTTCCTGCCACCCGTTCTTCTCTCCCATGAGGAATCCGCCTCGATTATTTCAAAAATTAAAAGGTTAGAATCAGCAAATGTGATCTTTCCTTAAAAATTCAAAAACTGAGAATCGCCAAATGTGATCTTTTCTTAAAAATTAAAAAGCTATGAATCAACAAATGTCAATCTTTTTTTTTTAAATGTGTGGTTTGTATAAACAATCAAACTTCTGAATTTTATTATAGATAATTTTGGTGTTAACAATTTTTAAGATGGCTTGAAATTTTATTTTTATTTTTAAATGTAAGATCTTAAACTCCAAAAATGGTTTAAATAATGTAGATGGAAAAGCGTTTGAAAATCTTGAAATCGACACTCCAGATAATTTAGATTAGCACTCAAATTTTTTTTTTTTTTCATATTCATACGTCTCGATGTCGAGATGATCAAAACAAGTTTCTATGATGGATTTTTGAAGTTCACCTTAATTCTACATTTTAAAGTTGCAACCTAATATAAATTTTTTTAATATTTTAAAAAATACAATTTCTCTCTCTCAATCGTAAAATACCTTCAAAAAAAACAAAAAAGCTAATCATCCCCACATCGAGTCACCACATTGTAATTTTCATTATTACCACTGACATCATCTCACTAACACCTTCAAAAAAGCTAAATCCTAATCTACTTGAAAAAACAAATACGGCTTGTTTTCCTCTTAATTACTTAAAAAAATTACAAATTACATTTTCCCTCTCTCTTAATGTTTGATTGCCCCATCCACCGTCCCATGTGTTTCCTTTTCTAAATATGGTTATTTTAGTTGCGTGCTTTGAAGCTTTTACCCTTTATATCACGTGTCCTTAAGCTTACAGTGATGCGAGCTGAAACTTCTCTTAGGAACTTTCTTATTTCGGACACCTCTTTATAGAATTTTTTATTTTCTTATCTTTTTAATGTGAAAGTACATAGAAACTTACTTAAAATTTAGTTACTGTCACAATCATTTTTAATCATTGTACATCAAGATGGTTAGCAATGTGTTATTTATTGTATTTCAAATAACTATATAGAATATTCATGTCTCGCATGTCAAATTTGTCCTATCATAATTTTTCTTTTTTATTGGGAATATATATTATAAAACTATTGTTATAAATAAGTCGCAATCACTTCTAACCATCATATGTCAAACTCAATAGCTTAAAGTGTGTTACAAAGTTCGAGAAAAATATTTGAAAATTAAATTTAGTCAATAACACACTTACAACACCTTGATTTAAGAGATTGTCTACAAATAAATCATTTATCTTTTGTGCATTGAAGTCATAATTTTTCTTGTCGTTTAAATTTCAAAATAGGTGTTTATAAGCGTGTCATTGAATAGACACCAAGTTCCAAAAAATAATTTTATCGGACTTCTTGACTCATCCCTAACCATCTAATTTGATATGTGAGAATAATTGTGACCTCTATGTACAATAGATAAATGCTCTCTTTATAGACAATCCCCGATTTAAAATATAATAGACAATAATAATTGTACTAAAAGCAAATCATCTACTTGTATATTCCTCCACTTAGTTAGGGTCTATTATCTTTTTTATGTATTTAGAATTACTAATTCCACTTGAGCCTCAAAAATTGAAACGTTTTAATTTCATTCATTTTTCTCTTCGTTTCTATTCATCACAAGTTTTAGTGTGAACGCATTCTCTACGTAATGTATGAATGAGGAGGAGGAACTTGTCAAATTTTTAAGGCATCACAAATCCATCTTTGGTGGTCAAAAAATAAATAAAAACCAACGGCCAACAAATTTTCTTCAAAAAACTATATTTTAGTTCTTAAATATTGATTTTATATTTCCAAAAGATCAAGTCTAATTTCCATCTTAAAATTTGATAGCAAAGTGGAGACTCATATCTACATATGAGTTCTAGCAGGTGTTCCAATGAACGACTTGGTCCGAGTACTTGGCCCATACGTGAGCCAAGTACTCTGCCCTGGTCTAAGTAACGTGACCCAAGTTGGTCCAAGTAACTTGGCTCAAGTTGGGCCAAGTGTGTAGTAGCAAAAGAGTGTTAAAACTTTAAAATAAAAATACTTTTTTTAAAATAAAATATATGTTTAAAGTAATCTTAAGCAAAATGTGTCTAAATGAGGTTAAAAAATAGTAAAAGAAAAAGTGATTTTAATAAGAAAAATAGATTTAAAAATTAATTTTGGGGGCATGTTCAAAATAATCCTAAAAATAAATAATACCAAAATAATTATTCATGACCAAAATTACTCTCCAATCTTTGTCAAAACGAAAGAACGTATAAATAAACATGTTAGAAGTAGATTTATTTTTTGTATTTTTTATCTTTTTAAGATCCCCAAATTGTACCCTATACTCCATACACCTATGACTCGGCCGATTTTTCAAACACGGAGTCGTATGACCCATGGAAACCAGTCCAGTTTTCTTATGAACGAATTTGGGGGTACTTTGGGAATATGTTGCTTAGCTGGAGGGCCGAATTGGCAAAGCGCTCTTCGCTGCTAAATCGCCATTCAATAACTTTTAACGCGGGGTCGTTTGAGGTCTGTGTATTTGGAGGATGCGTGGCATATACCCGCGCGGGATCACACTGTAAAATTACTTGGGCTGAAAACATGTCTCAAAGTATTTGTGCCGGTGAAATTTAGGATTTTATTAAGAAGTTCATAATTTATTTTCAAAACATTTTGTTTAGATCTCTGCTTTGAAAACGGATTCGGTTCGGTGAACCGGCCTTTCAAAAATATGGTTAGAAGTAACCCAACGATGGGACCCAAAAAAACTACCTAATAATTTTAATTTTTTTAAAAAATAACTATAAATGAAACCGGAGGGGTGCATGCGATTCGGCTAATTTGCATCACCCAATTCCCCAGCAAACTCTTCAAGTTCTTTGATGGAACTAGTGAATCGGTTAAAATCAAATGCATTCATATGCTCTTCCTTTTTTTATTATTTAGGTAATTCAATGGAGAAGACAAATCCAATTTTTCAAATAATTTAGAAGTTATTTTTTTTAAAGTGGTAATGAGATGGTGTCTGTAATAACATAAATCACAATACGGTGATTAGGGTGGAAACGAAAATCACAACATGATGATTAGGATGCAGTGCTACCACCACAACCCCAATCCTTTTCCAACCCATTTATACTTTACTAAAATCCAGGTGGGTTCCTACCGATTTTCGATCTAAACCAGGGATTCCCGCTCTAGATTAGTGAATTTCCTGTCATTTGATTGGGCTCATTATGGAGTCTATACTGTATGTACGAAATTTCTTTAAAGTTGATGAGTTGTAGAAATTGAATCCTTAAATTTTGGCGTCATAGGGAACGAATGCATGACATGTTCCCGCTGGAGCGTGTGATCTTTTTATAGCTTTTGGTTTACGCTGAGCTTTGAACATAGACACTGGGGAGAGAAACCGTGTTTATCTCGAGTTTCTTAGAAACTACAGGAAACATTCCTCTCTCAAGCTCAACATGTCGGGTCTAGTCGGGTCAGGTCTGTTCTGGCTTGATTGTCTCGGACCTAAAGTCACAAGACCTGGACTCGATCAAATCTGACTCAAAAATGAAAATATATATGTATTGAAAACTATTCAACTACTTTTTATAAATTAGGACTTGAAAATCTATGTGGGACCTGGACCTGAACCTGACCTGCCGGTTCCAACTTTTTGACCCATATCCCAACCTGGGTCGGGTCTACCCTTCGGATCCCGAGCCCATTGCAACCCTATGTTAGTATGATGAATATCCACTGGGATATCTAATATTATCAAGGGATATATATTCATACAAATACATATTTGTATTTGTATATATCCATATTGATATATATCCATATTGATACTAATACATGTCCTCACAAACACCCTACTCTCTCGCATTTCTCTCTATGCACATCACCGCTTTTTTTCATTTGCATTGACCCATTTAAAAACCACTAATTATTTTTAAAAACAGGTCGGAACTTGTACTCCCCACTTATCTATCAAAAACAAAGAAATATAACTCTGTATCTCTTATTTTTAGGTTTAATTTCTTGATAAAACACAAGGTTTCAAAATATATCTTTTAACCCTAGCTATTTTAAACTTATTTTTTAACCTAAACAAATATGACAAAGACATGCTCTTTTTAAACCCAATCCTTTCACTCTTTTCACTTATATAACTCAAACTTCTCTCTGTCTTTTTTTCCTGTGTCTCACTCTCTCTCTCTCTCTTCTCGTGTTTCTTAATCCATTTATCAAGCTTTGTCACTCTTTGGGGGCAAGAGACCTCAAGCTCATTTTCTTTCCCGTTACCCCACCCCACCTCCGATTCCCCTATTTATTTTTGGATTTTTTGTATTTGTATTGGATGCTCTTAGAGCTATCTCTCTAGTTTATTTTGAATCTCTTTCTATCTCTTCTTTTTCTGGATTCTGGTGTTTGATGGACTGGTACAAGCCTTTTAAGGATATAGGATTGGGAAATTTTAGGGTTACTAGGCTTGTGAGAGATGAGAAAACCAAAGAACTTGTTGCTGTTAAATACATTGAGAGAGGGAACAAGGTAAGATTTGCTCTTCTGATGATTTCATATGCCACTGTTTCATGTGTATGATTTTTCTATTGTTGTACAGATGTTGTTGTTTCAATACTTCTAATGCAAAGAGATTTTGTTCTCAAATCAGGGGAAGGAACAAAATGT